TGAATGTAAACTGGTATTAAGTATAACCAACAACATATTATATAACAACATTTTGATGCTACAGTTATTTTTTATTTCTAATTTTTTGTCAACCAAATTTTATGGGTCTTAAAATATTTAGGGGAGCCATGTCTCTGTAACCACGCTTATTGAAATTAATTAAAAAATAAAGGTCAAATTCAATACAAGAATAATAAAATATTTATATAACAAACTTCCAAAGCTTTTTACAGATAGGTGGAATCTTAAAGGTAGGGTGGTACTGCCAAAATAACAAGAAATTTTCAGAAAAAAGAATACCACTTAAATATAATTTGATATTATGATTATCTTTTGGTCGGTTTGTCAAGCTAGAACCTCTCCTTTGTCGTAGAAATAGACGACATTATAATTGGGGCTTTCCTTTCTAGTGTGGGATTATATTTTTATGTCCATATAAAATAGTTAATTCATTCAACCACCAAAACAAAAATAGTTAATTCAATAGGCTTTATTGATCTCGGAGAATAATTTTTTCTTATTATAGATATAATCACTGTTGTTAAATCCGATTCGGGCATCAATTTGGTTGGGGTACTAGGTCACTGGTCGAACCGGTGAATCACTGATCAGATCGGTTGACCTGAATATATATAGATATATATAAATATGAATATATAAATTCAATTATATTCTCCATATCTAAAATGAATTAAACAAGGTTCACTAAATAAGTTAAAAAATATGAAGCATAAATAAATAAAAGTGCATGCTATTACTATGTCAATTTAAATTGCAACTCAGAATCTCTATAAACATACCTCTCAATGACATTGAACTCATATTTTTTTAAATTCAACTACATTAAAATGACTTATGTCACATTCTCTAATTTATTATTCCACAAATTGCTTTAGTATTAGAAACTAAGAGGTCATTGTAGAAGAGTATACTAGCAAATAAAATTACAAAAAAAATTTAAAATGAGTTTTACATTTTTTTTTATAAGATAAAACAATTTTGATTTTGATTTTATTTTTTTAAAATGCATGACCCGACCGGGTCACCGGGTTTGGCCGAGTTTGTCCGGATTTGATCAGGTCGATGCATGACCGGTTCAATGCTTAACCCGAACCGGTCTGATGACCGGTTCACCAGGTTCTGGGTCAACCCGGCCGGGTCGGGTCGAATTTTACAGTAGTGAATATAATTATAGGTGAGGCTCATTCACTCGTAAAAAATAAAAAATAGAACTATATGAAAATCAATATATGTGTAGGAAAGAAAACTATTCTAACAATATAAGAATAATTTCCTCTAATTCAATTGGGAAAAAAAGATAGCTGAAACTAAAATTACAAGAATTGTTCGGTGAAGGGAAAAAGGAAAATAAATAACAATATTACGTTTTGGATTTAATTTTATCTATTATATACAAGTATGAAAATTTTGTACAAGGTTAATTATTCTGTTCTGGATTTATTATACAGGTTCTATCTCTTGGGTCAGTCATTAAATCTCATTTAAAAAAGCTACACCTTTAAAGTGCGATAAATATTATTTTATCATACCTAATTTTACTCCTTTGTACACGCACCTCATGCACAATGTTAGACTTAGAATACTTGTCTAAAATATTTTGGGATCCACAAGAGTAGAAACAATTATATTTTCTTCTATCATTTGGAGAATTTTTCCATTTATAAATATTCTTCTTCTTCATTGAAAATACACATTATGCATATTCATTCTCTTTGTTGTTACTTGGCCGAATTACAACCATAAAATCATCGTGCCCTTACACTCTTTCCTTGATTCTCAGCCGAGACTCACTTACACTGACTTTAGCGTTGAACTTAGGGATATATCTCTTTGTCTTACTATATATTGATATATTACACCCTTTTAATGGAAACAGACTTAAATCTACCATACAAACAACTGATATTCATAATTTTATTTGTATGATAAAATGATAAAATGATTAAACTATAAGAATGACAATTTGAGGTATGAATACTCTTTCATAATTTAAGGTGCGCACATAAAACAAAAGTTAAGAAGCATATATTATTTTCATTAAATTAATTTAATTATCTTGAAAATATAGTACATACTTTTAAAATTTTAAGATATTTAAAACTTATATTATTTATTTTAATTTTTATCTAATATATATCACGCTGTCACGATATAATGATTAAAATTAAACTTTTAAGCTTATATATGCCTTTAGTTTAGTGGGAAAAAATATATATTATGGATTAGAATTTAGAATCGTCTAAAGCACTCCAAAAACTGCAAGAACGTGTAGTTTGAATTCAACTATTTACTTTTATAAAATTATTTATAATTTTTATTTTGTCATATAATAAATTTAGTTTTATGATTGACATGACCATAATTTTTTTTAAAAGTAAAATAAAATATATAGGATCTTATTATATGAATAGGTCACTGTATGAACTATTCATCCCACTAAATCTTGGAAGTTCATGTAACCATAGGGAGAAGGTTCTCACCTGATGAGCCTATGTCTCTGGTTAAAGTCTGGACGCAACTTTTGTAATAAACGAAATAGCTTAATAGCTTTAGCTTTTGAAAATCAAATTAATTTCCATCTTTAGACTAGCTTCAGGATATTAGACAGCTTTAGACTGTGTAGCAATTTGAATTCTCGAATTAGTACTCAAGGAAGAAAAAAAAAAAAAAAAAAGACAACGAAAAGAGAAAACGTTCCTAACTTTTTTATTTTATTTTAGGGAAAAATAATATTTGTTATTTTAAGAAAAAAAATAAAACTTATTATTTTTTTATTTAAATTTTAAATTTTAAAAAAAAATCACCAATTTTCTTTCTCATAATTTTCATTGCCTATGTTTTTATGTTAGTTAAAATGACATAACTCTATATTATTTAAAAGAACAAATACTAAATTCTTTATTTTATAATGTGACCATAATTAATATTTTGGGACGAATCAGGTGTTTTTTTTTTCTTAAACGATAGTATGAACTCTTACTCTTTTAACCGTTTCTTTATATTTCATGATTTAAACTCTTACTTTTTTAACCGTTCATTTATTATAAACTCATATTACCATCCGAAACAACAGTGAAATTAAAGAAAAATACAAGTCTTATGTTGTATGAAATTTGTTATCTTATATTATATACACAGAGCATGTGGGGTTCACTTTTTTTTATAAAAAATAAAAAAATATTGACACAATTTTTGATGTAAAAATAGGAAGAATATGTTATCTTATATAACATGAGAAAAAGATACCCTAAATTAAATATTATTAATCATTTGATATGTGAACGTTGTGAATAGTATAATGATATGTTACACATTATTTTTTATGACCTTATTTTGTCTGACTTTTTTTTTGGCTAATAAGACCAGAAATATACATTCCATTTTTTTTTTTTAAGTAGTTATTATAAAGGGGTTTACATTTATGTAATTGTTGTACGTGCAACAGTCAAATATTTGCTATATATATATATATATATATATATATATATATATATATATATATATATTAAGGTATTAAATGTGAGAAATCATAACCATACACCAGTCATTGTTGTATGTAGGTATGTGCATGGGTCGAACCGAACCAATTTTTTTAAAAAACCGATTCGAATTTGTTTAAATGGTTCGGTTCAGAAGTAGTTCGGTTCGGTTCAAAACTGGTTTGGTTCGGAAGTGGTTCAGTTCGGAACCGGATCGGGTCGACCCTCTTTTGAAAAGAAAAAAAATTAAAAAACAGTTATAAAAACCAATTTGGTTCGGTTTGAAAATGGTTCAGTCCGGAAACGGTTCGGTTCGGTTCAAAATGGTTTGATTCTTAATCTGGTTCTAAAAACCAGTTCGGTTCATGAACTAGTTCTTTAAAAACTGGTTCGGTTCATGAATTGGTTTTTAAAAATCGGTTATTTTAAGGGCGGTTCGGTTTGGTTCATGGTTCGGTTCAGTTTGTTGGTTATTTTGCACACCCCTAGTTGTATGTAAAGTGACTGTAGAAACGATTTTACCTATTATAAATTAAGGGGAAAGATCCGTGTACAAACTTACAAATAACAGTCTAACTGACCAATAATACTCTACTTAAGAGTGTATAAACGGTCAAATATAATATAATTTGTAAACAAAAAATTTGTAAATATAATTTTTCTCTCCGTAAAAATGACGCATGCAGTAACTGTTGAACTGGCATACAAGATCTTAAAAGCTGCATATTCTCTTGCTAGGAAAGAAGCCCTTTAAATTTTGGGGTGACAGAAGTGAAATCAAGAGCTTATACTTAAAAGGGTAACTTCTTTTGGGGGTAAAAAAATAAATAAAAAAATTCAAAGTTAAATGGGAGAAGCTGTCAGTTATTGCAGCTGTTTCTGTCCCTTAAAATATTAACTATTTCTCCAATTTTGTGCTGTTGTGTCTTGTTCCCGAACTACCTTGGGTCCATGAGGATACTGACATTCAGAAGCAAAATTTTTGTGCTCCAAGTTTTGGTTAAGGAAGATGACATAAAGCTAACAATGCACGATAGTGGCAAACTTTTTTGCCTTTCTTAACACACAGCAAATGGTCCAATCTGTGTAAAAACCGTTTCACCCGTTTACATGCCAACCACACTTTAGTCTCATTACAATCTGAACTCTGCAGCTCATAAATGAATTGAATTAATGAATTCTCAAGTTGACATAAAATTTCATCAAGCTCATTTTACTTTCATATGGACCAAAAACATATCTGAGTAAATTTCATTCTATTTAAGTTCAATTCCATCACAAAACCATTTGACATGGTGCGTGCAGTTTCTTCTCTTGGTGTCTGCATTTAATTTCGCTTTTTCCATTTGAAAAATGGATATATTTGTAAACTACAGAACTGTCACGCTCAGATATTGGCTTAGCACTAAAGTCTATTAAACTTAACCAAAATGTTACTTACATTAAATAAAAGGGCAAATATCTATAGTTCTCAACCTTACCTTAATTTGTGATCCATGAGTCACGTGCAGACAACACCAACTGTTGTGACAAAGCTCTCATTCCAATTGGTGAGAAAACACTAACAAAAGATGTTGCTTACATGTAAACAGAAAATTGTGTATGAAACACAAACTTGAGAAATTCATTTAAAATTATTTTTATTTTTTTCAATGGGTTAATTCTACTGATTATCAGTCAAATCAAACCATATTTGCTTGAACACTTTGATGATAAGGTCATGATACTCATCTGAATTCAAAGAAAGGTAGCAGGCAAGAAGATCTTCCAAATCCTTTGATGTTCTTATGTTGTTCTGCACAATCATCTCCACCATTGACTCTCTGAAATCTCTTTGTGGATTGAATGATGACTTCACAATTGCAAAGCTATCTGAGAGGCTTCTCCGGGAGCCCGAGCCGGTGGCCGACGATACACTTTTCCGGCCATGTGCTTGAATTTTCCGGCTTGCAATTCTTGGTGAATTAGTCCTAAGCCTCACTCCTGGAGAACTCACAGAGAATCTCCTACAAGGGGTGTTCCTCTCTTCTTTCATTGATGCAGTGTCTTCCTTCAAAATTTTAACTTTAAGAGACCCTTGAATGTTTTGTTCTTCATGTGTAGTGATCCTGCTTCTGGGTTTAGTTCCTTTCTTCTTAGCATGGCTCAGCAATTCATTGAACTTTGCTGGCTTGTTCCCAATTGGTGGAAGCACAAGGTCTGAAAAAGAATCATACCCTTCTAGCTTATCATCTTTTCTGGCTATAGAATTGTTGTCTACATCAATAATGATATCATTGGAGTTGGAGAACACCCTGCAGCCACAAGAGTTGGACCACAAAACCATTTCATTAAAGGATTCAGTGGGAAGAACACGGTCTGTTCTGATTTCTGGCTCAGGGAATTCTGATTCAGCAGAGCTATCAAGTGGAGATGAGACAGAAGAGGTGACAAGCTTAGGTGAAGAAGTCCTTGGAGTTCTTCTCTTAGGTCTTTGTTTAGTTGATTTTCTGGGTGATTCAGGGAAATTGGTGTCTGAGATATTTTGGTTATTTGCTGGTGAAGTGCAGATTCTATCACTTGGCTTAAGCTCCCTTGTAAAGTAGTAAGACTTTCTGGGATTGGGATTGCATTGGTGGGGTTGCTTTGGTTTTGATGACACTGTGTTTGAGGCTGATAAAGATTGTTTTTTCTTCTTGGTTTGAGTTGGGGTTTGCTTTCTTGCTCTTCCCATGTCCCTCAGCTTGTAAAACCAAGCATTGGGCATCATATCTGATAATTTGAACCTGTAATTTCCCATCCCCTCTCACTCTTTGTGTAAATGTTTCTTCCCTCTTACCCTCTTGTGTTTGTGAAGCAGCCGTGTGCTTTCTAATTCTCTATATGATGTATGAGGGGTAACTCCATTAGTGTCTTTGATTTGGCACTCTTGGTTTTGTGAGATAAATAGAAAAGAGAGATGAAGCTTTTGGAATTGGAGGTAGGGATTGGGGTCCACAAGGGAAGAAAAAAGGTTGGCAAAAAAGAAAATTAGTGGGGCTAAAGGGGTGAATAACCTTATTGGTTTTTGACATTATTACCTAATCCAAAAAACTCTTTTACTACTAAAAAGGATAACAAAGTGGTTTAAAGTTTAAACACTCTTCCACATATGTGATTCCCCTCTAGAAGTTTTTTTCCTTAAGGGCTTTAGACTCAGCTTTGTTCTATGCTTAACATGTGCGTCACAGGGAAAGAAGAAGAAAAAACCAATTAGCCCACAATTGTATATGACCCATGCAATATTTGGAGTGCTTTTGCTGCTAGTGCAAGAAACCTGAATGAATGCAGACATATTAAGACAGTAACACTAACAAAGAAAACTGAGCCAGACCAATTGGTTATATGTTCAGATATAAAGTAAAAGCACTATGCTTTTGTAAGTGAAAGAAATGCTATTTTGCTGAAAGTTCATTGACTCATTGCAAACAGCAAGCAATGCGGTTTTGGTTAAAAATTTGTTCCGAGGAGAAAGGGAAAAGGGACACACAGAGATAACTTTTGAAAAGAATTTGAGAGGGCAGGGAAAAAGAGAGTGGCTTTCAGAATTGGAAGCTTGTTGCGTGGGTCAGGATTATATGCATTAAATATGGAAAATTTCAGTGGCACATCTAATAGAGAGATTGTGTAATCTTTGGATTACTCTACTTTTTTTTGTTTTAGCCTTTCTCATGATTGTTTCTCTTTCATGATTATAGAAACTAGAACGTGGGTTTGTTATATAGTCAGGTGTCTTAGTTCCGCCCTTTTAGTGTATCCATCATTTTCTATGCAAAACCTTGACGTACCATGTCTCTTTAGGTAAGAAAAGGAATCAATTTTTTTCAACCAAAGCAAAATATCATAGATACCCATGTTGGAAATAATTAAAAAAATTATAAATTCAGAATGAATTTGAAATGATAAACTTAAATCCGTAGAGCTTTGAATGATATTGGTACATAGTGTACATGAATCATACCAGAGAAGTCAATGTTGGTTATTAAACATGTAAATTTACATTGGAGACATAATGTATACAATCACATCTATTAAATCCCGACTAATAAGAGTGGGACTAGAACAATCCTTATATGCCGCCTTACTCTTACATAATTGTAAATAAGTTATTTTTCAGATTCGAATCTGTAACCTTTCAATAAAGGGGAAAATGTTTCCGCAGTTAATGCAGAGAAGTTATCTGCATTTATTCTCAAAACGACGTCGTTTTGATATTGAAATCTTAAAAAAATTATAAATATAAAGACTATTATAATCCTAAAATAAATTAAAATTACAAAAACACCATGATTTCCGTCCCAAAACAACGTCGTATTGGCTTACTGCAGATAACTTATCTGCACTAACTGCAGAAAAAGCGAACCCTTCGATAAAAGAACAGTTTTATCACTGATTCAGACTCATCCTCTTGTAATGGCTCATGGTTTTGGATGAGGCTTTGATGCATTGCTTTTGGGTTTGGGAGTAATGTTGAACCAGGTCAACATGGTCCCCCTCCATAATCCGTGGAAAGGTACAAGACCAGAGGCCACCCTAACGGTCTAGGGTAGCCGGGTAGTGTGTGCGTGTCTAAACTGGGATCAATGTTCAAGAACGAAATGAATGAATTAGAGAAAGAGGGTTGTGTGGGGGAAGAGGGGGGACCAAAGAGTGTTTCTGTCATGGGGTGAAATATATTAAGATTGTTTGTATTTTTAGGAAGGGCAGCAGGTACCTCGTGCTATTCTTATCACCCTTGTTTGTTACCTCTTTCTAGTATTATACAGCATGTCTGTAATGTAATGTTAGACTATTCATAATTTCATATAGTGTATTTGATTGATGGAAATGCAATGTTCTTGTTATTGTTTTTTTTTCTTTTTCTATGCAAGTGGTGCACATATAAAGTTTGGACTTGGATGGGAATGGAGAAGGACAATTCCTCATATTGGCCCATTTTTTGTGCTGTTATTGCTCTTATCATGTTGTAGTTGTTGGCCCAAAATAGTTTCAGATCATGAAATATTTTGTGCACTGAATAGTGGGCTGTATACAGAGTGAGAGAAAAGAGTTAGGCATCAAAATGGTAGTAACTAGTAAGTAAATTAGTTGACTTAGCTCCCTAGTTGACCCATTAGTACCAAACGAATTGAAAAGCAGTATTCTTGTAGTGTATCATGTGATGAGGCCAAACTATTTTCACAAAGGTTAAATTTTGGTTTGATATATGTGAATTATTAAGTTATTTTTGTTGTTGTAAATTATTGATTATCTGCCCCTGATATCGTTTGGGTACAAAATGTTTTGATGTTATTTTATGTTGAATACATGTTGAGAATTATATCGTTCCCTATTCCGCATATAACTCCTATTTAAATTGATATTTTTGGATGATGGATACTTACTCTAGTGATGCACAGGTGTTGAAATATTTTTTTTTAGGGATTAGTGTTTGTCATTTTAAAAAACATAAAATTATGTAATTTTAGTTAAAATTATGGGTTTGATGTTTGTCATTTTAAATAACATAAGTTATGTCATTTTAAGAGAGAGATAGATACAAGAAATGAAAATCATGGGAGAGAAAGTGAGATGTTTTTTTAATTTAAATTTTAAATAAAAAATATTTTTTTGTATCTAACTCTCTTTTAAAATGACATAAATTTATGTAATTTTAAATGACAAACATTTTTTCCTAAAACTATTGTGTTTTATAGTGAGAGAAACAAAAATCATGGTGAGAGAAAGTGTGAATTTTTTTTAATTTAAATATTATATAAATAATAATAAATTTAATTAAAATAACTGTCCTTTAAAATAATTTTTTTTTTCTATTTTTATTACCATATGGCCAAAGTATTGGTTTAAGTGTTGCATGTTGTGATTAGGGACGGCAAAAATGAGATAACTCGGGATTGGCTCGTAACCCGCATAAAATAAGTCGGGTCGGATTGACAAAAATGAGTTGACAATCCAAACCAACCTGATCCGAACCAATTTGAAAAAAATTGAGGCAACTTGCATGTCAAATGCATCAGCTCGAGTTATACATTAGATGCTTTCTTAGCCAAGATAAGAAGTGGTTGTGGTGATTTTTTTTTTTTTTGTGTGGTTGTGGTTGTGGTGATTTCTAATAAGGACAAAAAGGCACTGGGAGCTTTGAGCCTTAAAGTTGTAGTTTGGTTTCAAATTTTCACTTCTTTGTCTAGTTACTCTCTCTGCATATGTCGGTGGAGTGGTGTGAGCGAAGATGTTTAGATGGAGGAGTGAGAGGAAAAGAGTCAAAGCTATTTTCAAACTCCAGTTCCATGTCATTCAAGTAGCTTCTTCACATGATTCATTGATTGATTTATTACCTTTGCTTCATTTTTATAATGAAAATGATTATTGATAATGGTATTTCATATGCTGCAATCTGGGAAAGAGAGAGAATTATGATATAATGATACATACCTTTTCTTTTTTTTCAGCTAACCTTAACCCGACTTGAGTTGTGTTAGGTTGGATTTTCTGACTCAAATTTTTTTAGAGCCAATCCTAACCCGACTCGTTTTTTGGGTGGCAAATGAATTGGACCAGGTCGAGTCAGTTTGACCCATTTTGCCAACCCTAATTATGATGTCATGTATTTTGGTGCTAATTGAAACGTGAGGGGCTCCCTCTGAATTTTTATTTTTATTTTTTGGTATTTTGTACTCATAGCCATTGTTGAAACTACGAACAAATAAGTTTAGAGCAACACCTATTTAGCTTATGCTAAGCAAATATGCTCAAGCCAAAGCCTCCGCAAGACACATGCACATGGGGATGTAAATGGGTCAGGCTTTGACTTTAATAGTTTAAATTTATGTAAAATATTTAGAATCTATAACAGCCTATTAAAGGCTTGATTTATATATATGGCCTGACTTATTATAAAAAACTAAAAAAACCTAACACGGCCTGTAAGGCCTACCAAGTCGCAAACTAAAGTTTATAGGCCCAGTCCAAACTAAAATATAAAAGATAAAATTTCTTATTCACAAAGATCATATGAAATAATATTTTCATTAACAACACATGAAATAATGTTCATAAATATCACATGAAAATATTCATAAAGATCACATAAAAATTTCATATATGTATATATACATATAATTTGCACTTTCTTTATTAATTTAATTTATTATTATATTTTAAATTTTAAATAAATATTTATTATTTGTTACATTAACACCAATCCTATTACTTTGAAAATTAGTTTTAGAAAGCATAACCTCATAATATAAACAATATATATCATAAATATGTTATAATATTAATAAAAAAAATAAAAAGGATAGCTTGCAGGCTTTGATCAAGCTTTTAAAAGTGGGCCTATGTCTTAATTTTTAAATAAAAATTTCTAAAAGCCTAAACATGTTCTATTTAAAAAATAAAACAGGCCAAGTCAGGCCTGAGGTAGGTCATGCTATAGGCCCCTGATAGACCGTCTGACCCATTTAGACCCCTACACGCACGTTCCAAGTCCATGCAAGGGTAGTGTTATTAATATGATGTCAAAACAGTTTTCATGTCATAGATTCTAGCACATATTATCAACACATGATTATTTCATTTATATATCAACTTAACCTAATCTATAACTTGCTAGTTATTAGTATAAATTAACATTGATGAACAGTAATGGAGAGAAAGAAAATTCACCTGAGAGAGAAAGACCCCAACATACTAAACTTCTACACATACCAATGTTAACTGGGCTTAACCCATTAGTCAAGTCAAACTCTGGATGCTTATAACAAAAATACTTGTATGAAGCATAGCCCAATAACATA